CCAGTCGTATACGCGTAGCTTTCAAGCTCGCGATTGCTTTGGGGAGGATGGCTTGACATCACTCGGACAAGGACGAGCGATTGCGACATGGCGGGGTTAATGATGACAGCACAGGCAGCTCCAAGCTATGTTCTCGAAAATTCTCCGTGGTCTGATAAACGTGAGATTGCCTTCCCCATGATCAACACCAGGAGTCTGGCCGCGCTGCTGTCATAAAATGAGTACTGCAGATGTCACCTCAAGGATGCTCAGCTGGGCGATTTCAACGCTGAAGATTTCTATCGTCGCACTTCTGTCACTTTTGATTACATATCTGATCCAAAATGAGTTTGCACGCTTCCGAAGCCGAATCAAAGGTCTCCCGGGACCTCCGGGCTGGCCTGTGGTCGGGAATCTATTTCAAGTATCTGCCAAGCTCCTGCCGAAAACAGTGCTAAATTGGGTTCTAACTACATACCAGAACTCCAAAGAGGCTCCTGCTGAGACATATCGGAAGTGGGCAGGGATGTACGGACCCGTCTTCCAAATCCAACTTGGCAACACCACCGGCGTGGTCGTTAATACGGCCGAGTCTGCAAAGCAACTCTTTCTAGGCCAGCGCCATGCGACGAACTCCAGACCAACATTTTACATCTTCCACAAGAAAGTCAGCAAAGCTGTGACAAGTATCGGTACAAGCCCTTGGGACGAATCTTGCAAGCGTCGTCGGAAGGCTGCTGCTGGTGCACTGAATCGTCCGCGTGTAGAGAGCAATGCGCCGATTCTTAACCTAGAGGCAAGAGAGTTCCTCAGAGATATCTACTCGGAAAGTAGAGATGGCTCAATAGCGATCGATTTTCGCCCAGCTGTCCGCAGATTCGCGCTCAGCCTTAGTTTGACCCTCAACTACGGCACCCGCGTGTCCAACGTGACATCTCTCAAAGATAATCCCTTGCTGGCCGAAATCATTTACGTAGAGTCAGAGATATCTAAGTTCCGAGACACCGGGAAGAACTATGCCAACTACATCCCTCTTCTTCGGTATTGGGAACCAGTCGCCAACGCTTTTGGTCTCAATTCCAGCCCTAAGGACCATGCTACTGATATTGGACGTCGAAGGCTAGAGTACAATGATGTTCTACTGGACAAGCTGAGAGAAGAGGTCGAACGAGGAGAGGACAAGCCTTGCATCCAAGGGGCTGTGCTGAGAGACCCGGAGTCTGCAACACTTACTCGGCAGGAGTTGATCAGCGTTAGCTTGAGTATGATGGCAGTAAGTACTTTTGGAGCAATGGGTCATGCTAGGCTCGGTTTCTACCTGGCGTTCTTGATGTTCGAAAACTAAGGTCTCTTAGGGTGCCGATTCCAATCAACCGACCCTGGCTTGGGCCGTTCTCCTCCTGGCTCATCGTCCCGACATCCAGAGCAAGGCATACGAAGCCATTAAAGACTCGGGAGTCATGCAGAAGCCGTCCAATTCTTATGCGTCTACCAAAGTTGATTACATAGATGCTCTGACGAAAGAGATCGGTCGCTATTTCGTTGTCCTGAAGCTCGCCTTGCCGAAGGCAACATACACCGACGTCACTTGGGGCTCCGCAACAATTCCCGCTGACACCCTCGTGTTTCTGAATAGCTGGGCCTGCAATAGAGGTGAGCTTCATTACGATACAGATGTGGTGGCGTTCATCTAACGTGGTCTTAGATTCGGATTTGTTTGCCGAGCCCGATGTCTTCGCCCCTGAGCGCTGGCTCCCCGACGCACCTGACCAGTACGCTCATCAATTCGCTTTCGGCATCGGCAGGCGCATGTGCGTTGCATCTCATCTAGCGCACAACGCCCTGTACACAGCGTTTCTTCATCTGATTGCACACTTTGAGATCTTTCCCGCCGATGGGCAATCTTCCGATGAGATAGATCCAATCAAGGGCTTGAAGGGATTGGCGTTTGTGGCGACGCCTAAGGGCTCACGGGCCCGGTTCGCGCCAAGAAGGGACATGGAGTTGGAAAGTCTGCTCAACATCCGCGAAGATGGCACAGCTTAATGACCAATGGATCAGCTCGCGTTTATGGGCATCATTTTAAGCACAGTTCAGTGGTATAAGAGGGTATAACTCGTTGTCTCCGTATCAAGTTCCTGAGATGTCGCATATTGTCCCGCTGGTTGATTTACCGATGTCCAAGCGCCCCAAAAACGCCTCAGTGGTAAACCGTCCAGTGAGATGGGGAACATCCCAACTTCGGAGGTAGCCTGCAGATAAGGTGCATGAGCCCCGAATATTGCAGCAATTCGTAAGCACACTTTTCGACGGTCGGGCGAGATAGAAGCCGGATGTCGCCATAGTTCGTGCGGGCCGTCTTTTACCCCACCTAAGGATCATGATTAAAGGCTGAGGTCATCGCACTACGAGGCGGCCTTTATTCAGTAACTACAACACCATATGTCATTCACCACTTAGTTTCTAGAGAAGAGTCGCTTATAGAACATCGAAAAATGGCCTCAGTATCTCTGCAAGCTGCTGACTTGTTCAGCGTCAAGGACCTCATTGTCGTGGTTACAGGCGGTGGAACAGGTATGCCATCGTCGTTCATATTTACGTCATCACGGGACCTTGAAGCTCACCTCTGAACCACCAATACAGGCATAGGACTCATGATTGCACAGGGTCTTGAAGCCAATGGAGCCATTGTGTATATCATCGGAAGAAGACAGGAGGCCCTGGATAAAGCCGCCAGCACCGCTGTATGTACTCGTTCCCCACCCCTCTCAACCACTATATGTGACCGCGTCTGACGTGCCATCCATGACACAGAAGCATGGAAATATTCGCACCATTCAGGGGGATGTTACCTCCAAGTCAGATCTTGAGAAGGCTGTTTCGCAGATCAAGTCGGCACACGGCTACGTTAATGTCGTCATCGCAAACTCAGGTATTGGTGGCCCAGCGCTGAAGGGCATGCCGGCAAACCCCTCCATCTCTCAATGGCGCGACTTCGTCTGGAACTGGGACCCCGAAGAGTTCACCAAGACCTTTGCCGTCAACGCTACTGGTGTCTTCTTCACTGTGGCAGCGTTCCTCGAACTGTTGGACGAGGGAAACAAACGCAGCAACTTCAAGCAGCGAAGCCAGGTTATCGCAACCAGCAGCATTGGAGCATTTAACCGACAGCCCATGGGTTTCGCGTACGGGGCATCCAAGTCGGCAGTGGTTCACATGATGAAGCAGCTCTCCACGGTCCTGGTCCCGTATAACATCAGGTCTAATGTCATCGCACCGGGCTTCTACCCGAGTGAGATGACGACAGCAACCGTCGAGCAGCACAAGGACGGATGGCCAAAGACAACGATCCCCGAGGAGAGAGCTGGTGATGCAGAGGATATGGTCGGTGCGGTGCTGTACTTGGTCAGCAGGGCCGGCGCTTACACCAACGGCAACGTGCTCATTACAGATGGTGGCAGACTCGCCGTCGTGCCATCTTCATACTGAGATGGACGTACATACACGTTTTCATGTGTGAAAAGAGTTAGCCAGCTCGAAGGCGTATAAAAGAATCAATCGACTTTTGATGTCAGCTCTAGTTCTCCTGCTAGTGCCCGTCCAGTGTTTCGGAGAAGGTGATGTTTCATGTTAGAATACTTCTCCGTACTCCGATGAAGTGGAAATAGGTATCTGCGAGAATTTCGAGAGCGAGTGCGATGCGACGGTGGCTGTCCTAAATCCTATACCGCTTGGTTTGGGCGCTTAGAGACCCAAATGGGGAATGTCCAATCCGAAGACGACAACTGTGTGTGTCCCGGAGTTGATGAGTGATATAGTGCTAAGATACTTCCATAAAGTATCAAAACCTGGAAATCATTTGCTGAGGTCAGCTCGTAGCACTTTCGCCGAAGAAGCATCGACTTCTTCTCTGCCTTGTCCACCAATTAAGGCTCTTAATACACCCCAAATCCAAAATTGAGACTTGGAAGTGATGGAGGGCTATTGACCGTACTCGGGTCTCGGGTTTCAAAGTGCGAGAAATCTGTAGGTTCACTGATAGACCCGCGTTCATGGACTATACAATGTCCAGCAGGTGGCGAGGGCGGCTTTTCGGTACATCACTGCAAGTTCGAAGCCAATCGTTGATATGTTTACGCGTCTTCGCTAAGAAATTAGCGTTATCGTCCGAGTACGAGAGTTTCTGTTGTCTTTCTTAACAGATATGCACACACACATCCTTGCAAGGACCGAAACCGACAAGAAGAATTCAAACACACGATCGACGGAACAATTAATAACGTCGCAAACTAGCCATGTTGATTGAATGATCCGTCGTATTCGTGTTAATCGGTTAGTCGGCCCAAGCCGAGGTTTGGAGTTGGTTGGAGCAGCTCACACCGGTCTAAAGGGTTACCCCACAGATCATCCTGTACTTGACGAAAGCTGAAGTGCCTGGTGTCACCTCACTAGATTGTTTGCTTTTTGGAGGAGCCCCTCAGCATCGTGAAAGTGCCAATGGAATGCTTGGCGGGAACCAAGGGTGTGGTCTTCCCGCGCTCAAGGTTCTGACAGAAATTCTTGGCTCGGTCCATCATGCGACCTGCCAGTGAAAGATGGTGTGTTCGACCCGGCTCAAAAAGACCGACCAATCCCAGCGGATGTTTTCTCAGAACGTCCTAGCCATGCGAATAACAACCCCTCAGTCAAGCCGGTGTCCAAATTCCATGACGAGCTTTTTGTGTTAGCGTAGATCGTCTATCTGCATGTCACACTCTAGTGCGCGAACGAGAGTCGCTTCTAGCAAACCACGATCCTTGAGTTACGTTACCCAGCTGGAGTGTCTTGCATCGTCATGTTTGATGGGGTCGTGTTTGAAGATGGTGGGCGGCTCGTCCATGCGCCAGCTGAAACGGAAGACTTTAACCCCGATGCAAATCAGGTGGATTGGTTTTTAAGTGCGCGGCTAACCGCCACAGACTTCGCGTGCGAGCAGTCGTAATTGTGCGTTTCTACATTTTGTTTGGGATTAGTCTTCTATCATGTTCAACAATCTCCCTTCCATTGCGCTTCTAGCGCTTCCGGCTCTTCTACTTTACCTCTACTCGGCTGTTTACTACCGCCGCTTCAAGCAGTTTGCGAACTACCCGCAAATGAAACCATCGTTAATATGGGGCCATCTGAAGATTACCAATGAGTTCCATCAGCGACGCGACGAGAAAGGATGTCAAATCGGTAACAGCGCCTCGTTTGAAGCCACAAAACATTTGATCTGATACAATGTAACCACTAGATCACGCTCTTGGAGATATGTGTGAGACAATGGGAAACCCCCCTGTCATGCTCTACGACCTCCGCCCCATCAGCCGACCAATGCTTCTCATTCGTAGCCACTATGTGGCCGAGCAGGTCTCAAGACAGTCCAAAATGTGGCCGTATAGTACGCCGAAGTCTGATACTATGGCATACCTCTGGCCCCTAGTTGGAAAAAAGTCAATTGTGTTGACAAATGTGAGTTGGGATCTGGTCAGCTAACTACTGCGATGAAATTTACCAATGATGATTCAGGGTCCTGGTTGGAAAGACATGAGAAAACACTTCAACCCCGGGTTTGCTCCACAGCACTTGATGAGCCTGATGCCCGTGATTCTGGAAAATACTCAGACGTTTGTTTCTAAGCTTGACAGGCTTGCAATGACAGGCGAAGTCTTTGAACTGGAGCCGCTTTGTACCAACCTCACCTTTGATATTATAGGTAAGTTTGGTTGTTGATCATGACATTCTCGATATGATGACTTACGATTTCCCCATAGGTGCCGTGACCATGGACGTTGAACTAGGCGCCCAGCTCCCAGAAGAGCAGCAAGGGGACTTCATCAAGAGCTACAAAGAGTTCCTTCTATCTTACAGAGAGAAGGGCGGCATGCTCAAGTGGTGCGAGAACCTATTCTCAGACAGACGGCGCAAGGCTCTCGCTGAGAAGGTGGACGTTTTCCTCACAGAGGTCATTCGAAGCAAGTTCGACGATATGAAGAGAAACAAGGGATTATCTAGTCGGAGCATCTTGGCGTTGAGCCTCAGCGACACTGACGTTCTGACCGAGGAGATCATTGACGGCACGAAAGACCAGCTCAAGACTTTCATGTTCGCAGGCCATGACACCACCAGTATCCTTCTGCAATGGGCGATATATGAGCTGTCCCGGACCCCGCGAGCCATGAAGACACTTCGTGCGGAGCTGCAAGGTCTCTTCGGTCCAGATCTCAGCCCCGAAGCTATCCGCAAGGCCTTGTCACTGAAGGGAGATGAGGTTACGCAGAGGATGACGTACACGTCTGCCGTTATCAAAGAGACTCTGCGTCTCTACCCTCCTGCTGGGTCAGCACGCTTGTGCCCTCCAGGATCAAATTCCCACATCCAGCTTCGAGATGGCAGCAGCCTCTGTGCAGATGGAATGATACTGTACAACTGCGCAACCCTGATCCAGCGTGATGTTGAGGTCTACGGGAGCACCAAGGACGACTTCGTGCCAGAGAGGTGGCTCGGGAACACCGATACGTCCATGGCAACGAACGACGACGAAAAGGCTGGCATCGGAAAAGCCGGTGAGAGTGAGATTCCGGCGGCAGCCTGGCGACCCTTTGAGAGGGGTCCGAGGAACTGCATTGGGCAGGAGTTGGCGAATATTGAGGCCAGAGTGATTCTGGCATGCGTTGTTGGCGGGTATGATTTTGAGAAGGTCGGTTTGGGTGAGGCGACGCTTGGTGTCGACGGGAAGCCAATCATCAATGAGAAGGGCCAGCACAGGTCCAACACCCAGCTCTACAATGTGAGTCTTTGCCTGACATGCAGGTTTTCACTAGTAAACAATGCTAACGAACTGGGGCAGACGCGACAGGTCACAGCTCGGCCAGTGGATTGCATGAAAGTAAGGGTGAAGAGTCGAGACCGTTCTTCATAGTTTGCGGGGTCTTGACCACTGGTGGAGACAAAGACATGGACAAGTGTGATTGGAACCGCGTGGCAGGAGGAGCATGGGGATCGCGATAAGCTTGATTTCTGTGTGGCCGGCAGAATGTATGAAGCTTCGGCATCGAGGCCTCTCGCTTGAGCTGAAGTAAACATCCCAGCCAATCTAGCTAGCGCATGTTCTCTCTGGTCTCGATGTTTGAAGTTCCTTGACATACGAGGGAGGCTGGAGCCTTTCCTCCTTTGACGCCCGTTTCTCGCGTGTTCTCTTTGTCACTAGATCGCGTCAAAGATGTAGCCTCGAACGGTTGATTCCCATGCTGTTTTCTTTGTTTGTTGTTATCCAACGGACGTCGTTAAGCCACCAACGACCAGCCTCCCTAACTAGCGGCCAGCTGCAAAAAAAGAAAAAGCGCAATGCCAAGAATGGGCGCTGTCGAGCGGCCGAAGATGGCCAGATTCTCATCGCGGCGGATGCTGCAGGAATATTGCTCCCTGCATTCAAAATATTGTCTCTTGGGCGGTGTATTCGTGCATAAAGCTGTTGAATTTCCGGCAGGGCTACCCCCTGACGGGAGCTAAAGAGTGCACGTCTCGGGCGTTAAAAACATGCGACGGGACTGCGGTCAATGCGATATCGGATTTTAGCCAATGGGGGCAGATTTCGGTATTTTTCTCCCAAAAAACAACAATCTGATATGGCTACATTGGTGCTGCAGTCCAGCCGCACAGGCAAGGGTCAGGGCAAGAGAAGACGAATTGGGCGTGAAGTCTGTTCCCTGTGCCACACTAGCTCTGAAGATGGTTAGGACGTACACGAGTCGCCGGTCTGACCTGACATCTAGTCGCCAAAACCGCGAGACTATTGAATGGTAGCCTGCGGACCAGGAGTCGGCCCCTATTCTTTTTCTCCTAGCATAACGCATGGCTGGGCCTTTGTTGATATTGGAAACCCCGTCCACCCTCGCCCGAGCGCAGGGTCTACCAACCACGTGAGGACGACAGATTTAGGCATCATTAACCGTAAGAATCGCTAGCTGGTTGCCACAGAAGCTGCTCGCGGAAGAACGGCAGGCTGCCCGTCCCAGCAATGTGGAACGATCCCGAGAGCCAGGAACCTTCCAGACTAGCCGATGCTTGATGGGATTTGGCATGCGGCAGACAAAGAACATCGGGAAAGATGTGGGCTCGGAACCTCGTTGATTTACGCTTGTTTTACGGTTATGTCTCGTCGATCTCTGTTTCTGTTCGGCGCGAGCAAGGATGTCTCGTCACCCAGTCCACATAACCACTTTGCATCTCCTAGCAGAAAGTCGGCATGCCATTTTGAGGCTCCCGCGATGCATCAACACTTGACGACGAGGCTCCTTAAATTACGACGAGTGTACGGGAGAGGCTGGAATTTCTGTCCAAAAGGGCATGATGCCCGGTAGACTTTGAGCTGAGAGTGCCTTGCCGGATGCACAGACAAGGACGGTTAGTCGAAAGGGCGCCAACGTTCGCGCGGCGCGTCCGGTGGCTTATTGAGCTGAGCTACTCACCATTTAGGCCCTATCCCGAACTTGCACCGCTGGGACTCTGTTGACATGGAGACTCCAGTCACAGAGAATACTGACAGACACAAGCGGCACAATAGGTCCTTATGCTGGCGCGTCTGAATCCAGATATAAACCCTTTGACATTCCGGCCTCTTTCTCGATTATCTCACTCATCACCCTCACACTCCAGTCCTCCGGCATCACCAGCTCCATCATTTCGTCCGTCTTCGCTTCTGACAATTCAATCCCGGCTTCCAAACTCGCGATATTTGCCATGCGTTCCACTATCATCCTTGCTGCCGTGGCTGGCATGGCCGCTGCGAATCCCATTGTCGCCCGCGACACAGCCGTACAGGACGGTATCGACTTCGATGTCTTCGATGTGAGCAAGCCGTCTGAAATGCTTCAATCTCCGCGCTCAAGCTAATTCGATTTATAGGCCGTCCCCGAACCCACCAAGGTCGGCCCGGCCGTTGGTGCCGTCAGCGAAAAGGCGACCTATAACGTTGCTTCCGCGTCGTCAGCTGCAGCTGCAGACGCTACCCAGAACCCCGTTTCGTCTGACTCGACTCTCGCGGCCCGCGACGCTGCCGTACGCGATAACTCCGGATGCAAAGCAAGGGAGCCCGCTGGCTCCGGACCTACGACAACCCCTGACACTTATGAGGCATTCATGGCAAACACTGTCTATGATGACATTGCCAACAACGCCCCTGTTCCTGATGGATATAGTCTGGCTTTCTCTGATCTGACGGCCTCCCTTCGTAACCCGTCTTACATCAGTCTCATCACCTTGAAAAGCTTCGACCCTTACCTGTGCCAGCAGGTTAGTTTCCACTTATTTAAATGCAATCGGTAGTTGAGACTGACAATTCCAAGCAATGCGATGCTGCTTCTTTCTGCTACGCCTTCAACCTCTACATCGAGAGAGATCCCTTCTACACCGAGAACTGGACCAACTGCCAGGACCCCAAGAGCACCGTCAACTACAAGTGCACACTTTATGGCGCCAACGTGGACGACAGTAGTGCTAAGAACGATGGGCAGTGGAGAGCCTACTTTCATGTCGGCATCAAGGGCTCCAATGGTATGTCTCTTTTCTTCTTTTTCCATAAGAATAGATCTAACACGGTTGTAGCCTACAACAAGCTCGCGCCGCCTCCGCAACAAGCAGGCTTCTCAGGACCCACCGCGCTTGGTGGCGCCATCAACGCCCCCGGCAATTACATGGGAGCCAAATACTACCCTGGTCCCTTCGACCCCAGCCAGTGCGCCGCTGCTTGTCTGGCGACTACCGCCTACGACAAGAAACACCCCAAGTCTGACGGCACTTACGATGCCTGCAACTTCTTCAACGCCTACGTCCTTAGCAAGAACGGCGCCCCTCAGGGAACCTACTGCTCCATGTACACTGTGGTTTGGGACAAGAAGTACAGCACCAACTACGGCCAGTACCGCGGCAGCGACCGCTACACTGTCTCGCAGAGCTATGGCTACAGCCTCACCAACCAGGACAGTGGCAAGCTTTGAAGTAATGGCTGAGCTTGGATATGGGAACATCGTTCCTAGCGGATCACTTGATCACATTCTTTCTAGATAAGTAGTAGAATGGTTTGACAGAGATTAGAGTGCTTTGTTCTTGAATTTAGATCATGATAATTCGATGTTTATTCTAATGCCTCGTACATGCAATGAAGATAACCATGCTCAATTGCTCATGAAGAAGTCTGAAGAAGTTCAGTGTTGGTTTGGCTTTGCTCAGTCCCTTGTCGCCAACGTAGCGTCACCCAAAGAAGGTCACTCAACATAGATAAACCTTCCACCAAGTCTTTCGCTGCTTGGTAGTCAAAATTAACTGCGCCAAGTTCTCTCGGCGCTGAATGTCGGTCTCAAGCCAGTCGCGGTAATTAGATCCGCCGGGATATGCCTGGCATTTCTTGCAGAGCGAATCAGGCACAGTTGTTTGGAAGTGCTTCGTACGGACCCAGCCGCAATTGTTACCAGTCAGTTTTGCATTCTCACAGGGAAAGTGAAACTCATCGGTTATATAGTTAACTGCGTTAGGGTGGGAATTTGAAGGCTTTCGCTCCACCAGGACTGTCTGAGGTTCCTGGCAGGTCTCGCAAGTGGCTTTAGCAAGTTGACACATGGCTTCTGTATGACGGGTCCTTAGGCTTCTGTTTTCGATAGAGCTCCTCGGGTGTCGACTGATGTTTAGATAGAATGTTGCTTAATGATGAAGATGGTTGTGAATAGAAAGGTCCAGCAGGTCGGCGACAAGCCGCCTTTTGACCTATTATGCCCTTGGGTTAGCAACAAAGCATTCACTATTTGTTTTGTTGTTCTCGAACTATGATTGAAACAGTTCTTTGTATCCCGGAGCAAAGCACGCGACGACAATGCGTCGAGTCTGAGGAGCAGTCATGCTCCAACAATTGCATTAGCATTTATGGCACGTCTACAAAGCTCAGGCATTAGACAGAACAATGCCGATGCATATAGTTCGCCAACTGAGAACAGCGGCCAGGTAAGATCATATTTCTTGTACCCAATCCATCAAGCTTGGTCCATACGAAAGGATTTGGGTACTCGAGAATGACAAGGAGAGGGACGATGTCGGGATGCATGCTTCCAGTCTGAACACCTAGTCTGAGAATCCCTCAGCTTTTCCCGTTGCTCGCAACAAAGGCCCATTCAACATCTTCCCAGCCAGGCCTTCGTCTAATTCTCACCATCATGTTGTCCTGAACAGTCTGCAATGGCTTGGGCACCGCTTCGGCTAGGTTATTTTTTAAAGGCGGCACTTGAACTCGGCCACCTTCGGGCGTCTCTATCTCAAATCCAAGGATCAAAGCAGCCAGTGCTCCCAGAATCTCCGCGTCGGCGAAGAAGCGACCGGGGCAGAGGTGTTTGCCACTGCCAAAGGGGTTGAAGGCACGACTCTGCGTGCGCTCTCGTTCTTTGTCTACAGCCAAGAACCGTCTTGCGTCAAACTCGTGTGCATTTGGACCCCATGTAGCCGGATCAAAGTTGGTGATGATGGAGGGAACCTGGACGTTGGCGCCCTTCTTCAACAGGTATGACTGTGTAGCCGCCGTCTCTCCGACTGCCGGAGTCGGTGTGTAACTGATTACAGTGTCCTCGACAACCCTGCGCGTGCCGGCGTTGCGGTTCGTCAAACGCATGACCTCTTTGTATGTTGACAACAGAAGGGGACAGGCTGAGCTGAGCTTTGCTACGGGGAATGTACACTTGCGAGGCCAGTGGAACTGCAAGACATTCTGTCCATCCGCGGCCGTTTCGTTTTGGTCCTGAATGACCGCGATATCCAACAGCTCCTTTCGTAGTTCTTCAACGAGCTTTGTGTCGCGAAAGACGTAGCATGTCATCCAGAAAAGCGTTGGGATTGCGTTTGTGACACTAGCAAAGAGCATTCCGAATTCGTGATCGGCAACGTCATCGCTGGGTAATCCCCACTTGCGATTGACCGCCACGCGCCGCTTGACAACTGCGCTGACATTGGAAACTTGATCGAATTCCTCGAGAAAGTACTTTCTGAGGGCTTGCTGAACCCTGGAACGGCCACCATAGGCTTGGCGTGCTGTGATGGAAGGGAACGGCTGCATTAGAAGCTGAGACTGGCCGGCATCGTAGTCCCTTTCGTATGCCTATGTTAGGGCTTGTCCTTAAAAGAAGATGGGTGTGATACTGACCAGAGATCTTGTATTAACGTCGGGCTGGCTGTCAGGGAGTTTTCGTCGCCGAAGAGAGAGCCCAAGGTCGCCTTGGTGAAAGCATCTCGTAACCACAAATACAGAGTTTTGTTTTCAAATTCCGGGCCAACGGAGTTGATGGTTTGCGAGATTCTTTTCAAGACGTAAGTATTCATCTCCAGTAGATCAGGCCCAGGAGATAGCGGTGCATAAGAACGATGCTGATCGTCAGTCCACGGAAGTGAACCGTCTGTAGGAGGGTGATGGAACAAGTTCATGATATTGGGCCCGAAGCCGACCATCTTTTCTGCGAACTCTGCCATAAAAGGAATCAGACTTAGAGCCTTGTTCCTCATAGCGACTTGGCTCAGTTGGGGATCTTTGATGATGTACATCTTCTGGGAACCACCCATTGAGATTGAAAAGACTGGCAGGTTGGGATTATCATGACTGCAGCGAGCACACGCTCTCCACGTCAGCTGTTGTGTTTCTGATGGCTGGGATTTAAACCCCAGGACATGGCTTTCAACGTACCCGAGTTGGCGATAGTAATATTGTCTCAGTCCTAGTAGACCAATAATGTGACCGGCTACTGGTATCTTCGGCTTCAACGCCGGCGGCTCCCTCGGATCTTGAAAATTACCTCGAAGCTGGGACCCGCCGACAAGGAGAATGGCAGCTAAGATAAGAAGCAACCATGGTTCATAGCCATAGCTAGCGAAAAAGGTCCCTGCCAGACTGATGGAAGCCATCTTGATGAGGCACGGTCAGACTCACAGAACACAGTGGGACGATTAGTCTGCACGTCCTTGTAGACGACGCGTTGTGCGATTCAGCGTGGTGTGTTTACTATTAAAAGGAGGTGCATTGGTCAGTGCTTGTGGTGGGGCAACCGGAAATTTGTTGATCGTACTTGTCCAGGCCCGCATACTATCAATATTGAAGTTACACTAGGTACCTACTAGCCGAAGGTAAACCTTGCAGACACTGTAGACGTCGTACGAATAAAGGGGAGCAGCATGGGTCGGCATGGGTCGGCATGGGTCGGCATGGTGGCGCTTACTGTATGTCCTCTTCTTGTTAGAGGTTCACACCAACAAGAAGTCTATGTTGAGGTGCACCTAGAGGTCGCTAGAGTCAAAATCTGGTGGGATATTCGCTAATTTCTCCGGGCCCAAGTTTGGAACCGGGCTGGTGCATCATGAAGCCGGATCAGTGCAGACGGTTGCACCAATGTGTCCTAAAGCACAACGCCACTGCTGCCTGCTTAAAATCCCCCATTCACAACAAATATGATGTTAATGTTTCTTTCTTTCCCCCCTTGGTTTGGTCCCTTTTCCCCTCCTCAGTCTGAAAGAAGGCCCGCCAGATGATGTGGAACTTTTCAAAGCCAGTGCAGAAGCATATGACAAAGACGATCTTCTAAAAGACCAACATGAGATTGGATTTCATCTATGTGAACTTTTGCCGCAATATGCCCTGAAGTCTAGGTGACTGAGTTTGAGTCTTGGGTGCTCAATCCGTCCCTTATATATATTCGGACCTTCGGACTGTCTCTCGCACCTGGGAGAATTGCGCCTCACGCATGACGGTGATAAATACAGCTGCTCTCTCAACCAAATGGACGATGTTACTGATCTTTGGGAAGCAAAACTTGAATTGTGAAGAAAATTGACTGTGAAATGAGACTATCAGACTAAATTGATGCGATCCAGCGCCTGCTCTTCTTTGACAAGCAAATCTACGGCCTCTCCGTTCATGATACCGGACACATAGGTCTCACCTACGACTCTGTAGCCATTTTCCTTGCACCCACGGAGGATATATGGCACTTGTGAACTGATCAAAATAGCAACATGATCACCCATATGAGCGTTTGCAGGACCAATGCCCAGATATCCGCGCGTCGTGACAAAGAATCGACGTCCTAGAGCATACTTCTCCACAGGAAAGTCGACTGTTTCCTGAGGAATGATTGATGGTGTCTTGGCAAAGGTTTTAAGAGCTTGTTTCCTCCTGCGTTTGGCGCTCTGTTCATCGGGACTTATGATGCCGTTGATCCATTTTTTGCAGCGCGACGCGGCGCTCAGCGCTCGCGCTCTTTTATCGTCTTGGACGCGACAAGTCCAGTAAGCATCCGGCACGACTGCTGGAAGCTTGAAGGGGCGGTGATAGAGATCGTATGGCTGCGAATGCCACAAGTTCCCCAGCTCCCGAAATCGCTCCATCTTTTGAAGTCGTTCTGCTTCTGTCCAATTCTGTGGGTCAAAAGACTTTTCAAATCCTACAGCCAGCCAGCCTCTGTCTTCGCCAGCACCTCTCGTGCGCCGAGACTTTTTGTTGAAGATTTCAGATATCTCAGACAATTCCACTTGACCTGGCTTGGTTGATGTCAGCGGCGGTTCCGTCCTGCTCCATGCTGGCGGCAGGCGAGGAAGCCAATCGTCAGGGCTTGTTGATAGATCAACGGCCTGTCCAGCGAATAAAGCATCCCAGAATGCGCTCTCTCTGGCATCCTCACTTTCGTATGGATTCAAGTCATGGTTTTGAATCATTGCCATACTCTTACACTGAGCGACAGCGATCATGAAGTGAGTGGAAGCCTCCCAGTTAGAGTCTAAATCCTCAGGGAATGGCTCGTGTGTTGACTCGATGGTGTCCCAAAGCATTCCATCCACAGTCATGCTTCTGAAATCATGCGAAAATGTCGGCGTACTGCTGGTGGCTTGGCCTATTCCTGCAGAGTATGGCGGTCGTTTCTCTTCTGTCTCATCAAGCCAATCCCGGAGGAATGCTCGCTGGGTTATTCTCTCGTTGGATGTCATGATTCGATCGAAGATCTCAGACATGCTTGTTTCAGTTTCGGCATCGATGCGAGGCTCACTTGGCAAGCACGTCAGCACAAGTTCCCCTCGCCGAATGAGGTCTTGTATGGTATTTTTGGCATCTGGTGGATTTGGTGGTAGTTCGCTCAATATCTTTGCTTGAGATAGGGCGACCGCTACACCTCTTGTGTCTTCCAGAGTCTCTTGTGCCATGTCTCTCGCTTTGCTGTGCGTGGTGGGGTAGCCAATGGTGTTGCCATTCTGCTGCGGCACAGACCACCAAGGGATTGCTTCCTTGACCTCGGATGCCCGGTTGGGCAGAGGTGTTTCTCGACGTTTGAGAGACCAGTCAGGAACCCAAGATGGTCTGCCACTGAAGTTATCATCCAGTGACCCGGAACAGTGTTGCAGTATTCCTAACCCAGGGGCTCTGACTGCTGTGATAATGGCAAATCTGTGGTACAATTCCTCCGCATCGATGCCATAATCCACACGCAGCTGCGTCGTGTCCAGTCCGGGTCTGTTCCTCAACATTCCCTGCAGAGCGTAGATCTTGTCCCTCGGATCAGTTGCGTCAAAATGCCGATACTTTGAAACTAGTTGCAAAAAGTCGTTCTGGTCAAATCCCGTGGTGTTCCCCTTCGTATAGATGTGCTCGCCACCCCAGCGGACCGACTCGAGATGCAGAACGCTTTCAACATGGGGAATCGACTGGCGAAGGCTGGTTTCATGGACTTTGATCCGCCCGCATGCGAGGACAAGGTCATGCCAGCTGATAGATTTGCTACCGCAACGAACTGTAGCCGTCATCAGCCCCTCCCCGAGAGCGCCCCAGCAGACTTCTTGAACGATCCAGACCCTGGTCCACCAAGGCCTACTGAGAATATTTCCGATCGCAGCCGCAGTCTCCGGCGGAACAGAACGCATTCTGCTGTATACAGTTGACCTTGAGAGTACCGCTAGCTTCTCCATCGCGACGTCACTATCGTCGGCTGCTGGTCCAAGCCAGATGGTGACAGCGCGAGAAGCGATGTAGAGGACACTCATGACAGACACCTGTTGGTTCTTTTCGGCGACGTCATTCTGGTTGATGCACACTGCATCAACCCAAATCGCAACCTCTGCAATTGAGTCCCGGCGCTGTCGTAGAAAGCTTGCTAGGTTTGGCGTGATATTCAGAAAGTATGCCTCGTTGACTAGCACAGGTTCGCATGGTGCTTCTCCTCCCCAAGTGTACGATAGCGTCTCAAAATGTGGACGAGTGCGACCACTTACAATCTCTAGTCGGCATGCAAGCGGCTCGGTGGAATCGTTCGCGGGTAAGAGATGAAGTAGTCGAAACTCCAACTGATCGTGGTTCAGAGGTTCGTACTGGTACGGCCTGGTGGTAGTGGCATGAGCTTGGTTTTCCATTCTTTCAATTCCACACAATTGAAACCTTCAAACAGACTGTAAGATTTCGTGAATTTAAAGCAGATAATACTGGAAGTGAACAGATTATCGGTATTCGCGGGAAAGAAACCTGGTTGTGGGGTTTAGGCAACAGCGTAGGCGGCCTCCCACAACTCACAGCCATGGCCTGATCCACCCCAGATCTGGAGGCACTTTTGTAAAAGCAGTCCTCGTAAATTTCGAATACCATCTTCACCAAAGTTTTAAGGAGCCATCCGCGAACAATGTATGATTGAGAAAGTGACTGAGAATCTGAAATGATGCGCGGATTTACCACATGGCCTACCCACCCGGTGCGTTTTATGCGGCAGAAGAATCAAGACCAAGTTCGAGGTTTACCTGATTGGTTGTCAATCTTTGAACTAAATGGGATACTCTATGTTGAAGTCGCAACTCTTTCTCCCCGGACCAGCACTGCGATGCTGGAGCCCTCTCGAACCCGGAACTCTTCCTGGCCCCCGACTCGCAATATGGCAGCTATGGCGTAAGAGTGGACGGTTAATGACACGAATTGGCTGGGATCGGTCGAAAAGATCTCATCCAGAACTTGCTGCTTCCTTGCGACATGACTTTCCGTGGTCTCAAACTGGTCCGCCTTCCAGAGCTGGTCTTCCTCGGTGAAGCCAGATTCGATGATGTACTTGGGATAGGCTCCTTCGATCCACGTCCTCGAGCTCCTCTTGTCACAAGTATGATCGGTCATACGCTCTCTCAGCCCTTCTTTGATGACAGGTCTGAATTGCTGGCCTCTGCCTTCCACTAGATCGCCAAAGACAAGCTTGCTGGTCTCGAGGCAACGCCGAAGGGGACTCGTGTAGAATGACTCTGGAAAGGGAACTCCTTCAGCAGCCGTAGCAGCCTTCCAAAAAACACTCAAATCTCTGGCCTGAGTGATGCCTGTGTCGACAAGCTCTGCATCGAGCCATGTGACGACCCCATCACCGTCAAGTCGCGACCAATATCTCTATTGTAGGTTAGAAAGGGTCAGGCCGCCGTATCCAGAAGACGCTGCTCACATCCCAATCTGCCGTCCCAACCTTGGCCGCCTGAACATTGTGGTACCCGAGGCCGTGTCTGGTTAGGTAGAGCACTTTGTAATCCACCCCATCGGGACTTTCATCGTTGAGTCGGTTGAC